AAATTAAATATTGCAAAAAAAAAAGAAAATTGTTTTCAATGTTTATGAATTATTCAGACTTCACTTTCATTGAATTTCATGTATGTTTGAAATATGTTTTACATTTAAAAAACCTAATATCCCATCGTGAGTACTTACTTTATAGGATCGTAAGGTAATAAAAAGAAGTATTGATGTAAAAAAAGAATTTTACCACATGTACTTAATGACATCGAAAAGTATGGTGCAAAATTTAATCCATTTTGTTCAAACAAGTCTTAGTAATACAAATACTAAGCTTGTAATCATTAATAAACTAGTTGTAAATGTAGAAGCACTGCTTTGATCAGACATCATACTTTTACATGGTGTCACTCGTAAAATATAGCTGAATATCGAGTCTACAATGTTAGCAGGTGTGGGATCTGAACACTTTTCCAGTTCTTTAACAATGCAATTTTGAACGGTAGATATATCCCTGTATATACAGAAACAGATTAATGATCAGTTGAAAACTAAATATATTACAAGTTTTAATATTTACTTACCCGCATTCTTTACTACCAAGGATAAAGTTTGGAAGAGTTTCCAATGAAAGCATATTTGCAGGATCTACCGAAGGGATGTACTTCCCAAAAGTAGTGTTGGCACAATTTTCCATTTCTTGTTGCTTTGATTTCAGACATTCTGGTCCATTTGCAGATATAAACACTGTAAACAATAAAAAATCCATTTAAAGTTTCAACCCACAATTTTGATATAGATACAAATTTCAATATTTGTTACATACGTGCAATACGATCTCCTTCCTTAAAGCAAACAAAACTTAGAAGGGAATCAGTAATGTTCAGAAGTATCTTCTTATTTTCTTTCTCTGTAGGTTCTAGACAAGGTTCTATGGCGGTGGTGAATTCTTTCATGCAATCCTTAAGAGCAGGAGTCTTGCGGCAATATCTTTTAAACACCAAGTCTAAATCTCCAGTAGGTTTATATTTCTCCATGTCTTGCTCAAGTTGTGTGAAGTTCACAAAAGATTTAAGGCACTGTTCCAGTTTCTCTTTAGCTACAACAGTATTCTCATATACACCTTCGCCTCCATTCTTATCACATTTTTGTTTGAACAGATTTTTTGCATCTTCAAAAGCTGGTATCGCAGATACATTCAAATTATATAGATCTGGCACTGTGGAAGCATTGAGATTTTTTAAATCTATGACATTAGAAACTTTATTTAACAGTTCATCTGTATTAGGTGTATTTACTTGAGAGTTGGTGTATCCAAGGAGACCTGAAACGAAAACATACAGGCAACTGAGTAATTTATCTGATTAAAAGTAATCTAATAATCTTCTTGCTAGGGGGAAAATTAGACTGAAGAGGGTTAACTCCAACAAAGTCTTTGGCCGGCTTTTTACGGCTTCAGTTTCAAATGTCGAAGTTCAGAAGCTTGGTTTTAGAGTATGCTTATTCCTTCGACGAAGGCGGAAATAAACGCGTCATATATAGCGTCTCGGTTACGAAACGCATTATCTTGAAACCTTCGATGAATTCCAATTTGTAAAATCAGCGTTATAATATCAATATATTTTCTATACGTCACTGTTGATATGCGCAACATTATCTATGCTGCCGTTTGTTTATCATGAAATGCAATTGAGAAGATCAAAATGCATGTGAAGAGGTACAAAGTGCGAAAGCAAAATGAGATATGTATGCGTCACACGTGCATTGCAATAAAACGGGTATACGCCCGGCAAGAAAAAGATTTATTTTCATTCTCGTTTATTTATTCTACGTTTATAAATCATATGTACGTAATCGATGTCGATTATCCAATCCATCGAACATTCTATTCCCCGTTCTCGAGTTTCACGCTTGTTTCTTATCGATTATGCGAACGTGATCGAAGGTTGCCTTATCATTCTTTAAACATTGTTGACTTCGATTCAAGTTTACAGTGCGCCTCTCCATAGAACAATGTCCGACGATTTTCAAGGAAACCGAATGTTCTCCATTTCAAATCGAATTCTGCGTAGCCACACGTAATAAGAAATCCCTGATACCTGATCCGCTAATAAAGTATCTTTACCGTGAACAGGGAAAACCATACGGTGCTCGCAAGGTATATGATTTGATGCATGCGATCATCTTACACGCGTTGAATTCACTATCGTCGCCCGTCCTTTCCCATCGTTTGCGTTTCCCCTCTTCGTTGTTTACTCGTGGCGTATTGCGCGCCGTGATTCACTCCGGCGAGTTCTATCAACGTGGAT